ACCTGGTGGGGGCCTGCGGGTGGCGACTGCCGGCCGCCTACGCCCACGTGCAGCGGCACCGCGAGGTGGTGGACATCAACCGGGGCTTCTACCGGCAGCTCCTCCAGCTCGATGCCCGCTTGCACGACACCTAGGAGACCCCAAAAGCCGTCTCTGCCTGTACAGCTGCTATTTATTTGTTTATTTTATTTATTTATTTTTAATGCTCCATCAAGCAGGGTGGGTTTCGTGGTGGTGGTGGTGCAACACCCAAGGCCTCCGGATTCGGGTGACCAGGCGCTAATTCACCATGCCACAACCCACCGACGCTTAGCCTCCATTTGGGGCCTCCCGATGCCTGTACAGCCGTCATTTATTATTGCTTCCACTGCAAGAGGAGTAGATTGGGTCACGTTGCACCCCAACCGGTAGCAACTGTTGTCGTGTCGTGTCGTGTCGTGTCGTGTCGTGTCGTGTCGTGTCGTGTCGTGTCGTGTCGTGTCGTGTCGTGTCGTGTCGTGTCGTGTGAAGTAAGTATTGAGGATCCGCAGCGTGCTAGAAAAAGAAGGAGGCACGGTTCTTGCCGGTACCATCAGTACTGTTGTGTGGAGTTTCCGTTCCAGTAGGCGTTGTCCTCATCTCCCTCCATGTCGTCTCGCCTTAGACCGTGCACGTTGCCCGCCCCGCCGCCGCCGCCGCCGCTGTACGGAATACGCCCGGATGCGGAGCTGTCGCCAGACCACCCACACACACCCACACACAGGCACACGGTCAGCAGGCCGAGAGAGAGAGAGAGAGAGAGAGGAAAGAGGAGGAGGAGAGTAGTACGTCGCGGAGGCAGCGGAAGCCTGCTGCTGGTGGCGATCGGGTGGTGCGGCGGGGCTGGCGCTGAAGAAGCCCCACAGGTAGGAGGTGACCGACGAGATGAGGCCCGTGCCGCCGCCGCCTGGACCGCCTGTGCTCACCACCTCACCAGCCGCCGCGCCTCCGCCCGAGGAGGCGTACTCCGTGGCGCCCTGCAGCCACCCGCCCCGGTGGTCAGTGGAGCAACCTCCCCCCCCAAATTCTTATTCGTATTCTAATTATTATTCATATCTAGTAATGACGTGTGGGCGTGGCGGTGGCGGTGGCGCCCAGGGGACTGGGTACGTACGGTGAGGATGAGGGTGGCGGAGGGGCACAGCTGCAGGTCGCGTAGGGTGAGGGCGTACTCCTCGTCGGCGAACACGTGGCGCGGGAAGTTGGTCATCAGCGTAAACGGACCCTGCACCCCGACCACCTGGTGCACGACACACGACACACACACCGACACACACACACGACACGATATATGATACACGACACGACACACGCAACACCACGCCAGCAACCGAGAGAGACAGAGTGAAAGGCGCGTATGAGACGAGAAACGGGTGCATGGCTGGGATGGGATGGATCTCGTGAGATGCACGCCAAGTTCGAGGAAGGGGCAGCGTGCGGTGGCGAAGAGGCGGAGGAGGATGGTACGGTGCGGAGGTGTTTCCGGCAGTCGGCGAGGGTGCTCGTGGCGGCAAAGTCGGCCTTCTCCACGCTCCCGTCGGGCATGCGGAAGGCGATGGCCGCCGAGCTTCCAGCCACCACCACCAGCCACGCGCATGTGAGCCGCCTCCCAAGATGGCGAATAGAAAAAATAAAATAAAAAATAAATAAACACGGGAAGGTGGGAAGAGGAGGGAACTCCACACGTACGTGGCAGCGGCAGCGGCAGCGGTGGCAGCACTCGGAGAAGTGGTGGTCGCCGTGGTGGTGGCGGTGGCGGCGGTGGCGGTAGTGGCAGCGCTCGGCGATGGGGCGGCGGGAGAGGGACCAGCCTGCTGCTGCTGCTGCTGCTGCTGTGCGCGGATTTCGCGGTCGCGGCGTATCTTTTCGCGCACCTGGGCCTTGTGCCGTTCCGCCTCGGACTGTTCGCGTCGGCGCTGCTCGAGCTCCTTGCGCTTGTTGATATCCTCGATCGTCTTCATCGTCTCCAGGGCCGCCTTCCCGTTTTGCCGGCGCGCCAGCTCACGTTCCCGTTCGGCCTTTTGTGGTTTTTAGTTGTTGTTGTTGGTAGGACCATGAAGAGGAGACGAACAACAACTTCGCGTTAGCGCGGAGGAGAAGATGGAGGCCGCCTGCCCTGGCGCCACCACAACGACACCACAACGACACGAGGGCGATTGGGAGGGGAGGTGCGTGCACGTGCCTGTTTCTCCTGGGCCTCCTTTTGTCTCTTGACCTCCTCGATTCGCTTCAGGAGCCTGGGTTGGGGGTTGGGTGTTGGGGATTGGGGGTTGGGAGCAGCCCACATCACACACACCAGCGGTCAGAGCCCTTCGAGAGATGGCCAATCGAAGGAACACGCGGGGGAGGGGGTCGGGCACGGCGGTACCGCTCCTTCTGCGCCGCCACTTCGGCGCTGGAGAGTGGCTGGGGCGTAGCGGGGGCTTCTGCCGGCGCGCGGTTGGCGTTTTGCACTCCTTCTTCCGGTTCGCGGGGAGAGGTGGCCGTAGTGGTCGTGTCCATGGGCGCGAGTTCCCGTGATGGTGGCGGTGGCGGTGTTGCACTCTCCTAAACACACGGCACACACACACACACACACCACACACACACAGAGAGAGAGAGAATCAGAAGAAGAAGAAGAATATACAGCACGAGAGAACAGGGGTCAACACACGCTGCGCTGGAGCGGAGGGTCGTAAGAAGTGGTCCGCACCGTCATCGATGCGGGAGGACCCGCCGGGGATGAGGAGGGTGGGTGGGAGAGAGCGGCGCAGCACTCGTCGAGCTTGGCCAGGAACCTGCCAACGGTGGTGCGTAAGAACAGATGACTGTCGTCAGGAGAGGTACGTACGACGACCCTCCTCCTTCATGTGGGGAGATAGAATAATAAATGATGACGATGATGGTGATAATAAAAATAGGGGGGGGGATACGGGGGGTGGGGGGTACTGCTGGGGCGTCACGAAGCCGAGGAGGATGCCCAGGGGCTGCCCGGTGAGCGGCGCGATGAGGTAGATCGTGGGCACCTGGAACGCCGGATCTGAAGCCCACCAGCCACCACCACCAGCCACCAGCGGTGCGCACAGAGGGGGAGTGGCACGCAGGCGGGGGCGACAAAACAGTACGAGAGGAGTGGGGTGGGACAGACGAAGGAAGGGAAGGGGAGTGGAAGGGAAGGCGACGTCGTACAGATGGCGAGGAAGCTGACGCCATCGGGGCTCCTCCAGTCGAGGCGCAGGGCGACGGTGGCTTCGCTCAGTCTGCGCGCCACGTCCGGGTCGGACCACGTCTCGGCATCCAGCCGCCTGGACGCCTCCACCCCCGCCGTCGCAGCCTCCCCCTCCTCTGCACGGCCACGCCACGCCACGCCTTCGTCAGCCCTGCCTGCCTGGCCTCTTTCATCTTCATCTTCATCGATGGCCACACGTGCACACCTGTGCACAGGTGCGCGCGGATGGCGGCAGCAGGTTGCATGGCATGGGAGAGGAGGAGGATGGGGTGGGTGTGCCTTGAAGTGAGACCACGAGCACCAGGCCGGGGGTCTGGCGGGCGAGGGCCAGGGCATCACCTACGGGGCCTTCGAAAAAGCCAGCCAGGCAGGAGGGAACTTGCGGCTCCGCATCTGCCTGCTGCTCGTGCTGCTGCTGCTCCATCTGCTGTTGTGCTTCTGTGGTGCGTCGGGTTGGGCGGAATACCTGATGATGGAAATGGTGGAAAGGAAAGAAAGAGAAATGCAAAAGGAAAGATTTGCAGCAGCGAAGATGACGACGCCCCACAACCACGCCACGACTGACGAGGGGGAAGTGGTGGTGGAGGAGCACAGCTACGGAACAGGGCCGCGCCATAATCTCGATCTGTACCGGCCAGCCACAGATCAGAAGAAGCGAGTAGTGCTTGTGTGGGTGCACGGCGGTGCGTGGGTGGACCGCTCCAAGGCCGAGTTTGCGAACCTGGGGCGTGGTCTGGTGAAGGCCAGCGGCGGGAGCTTGTCCGTGGCCGTGCTCAACTACCACCTCAGCCCTCGCACACGCCCGCCCACGCACGTCTTCCCCGCCCACGTACTCGACATCGCGCAAGCCCTCCAATGGTATACCCATCAGCCACCACCAGCCACCAGCCACCACCACCTCCTCCTTACTTGCCCGCCCGACGCGCACCACTGCCTGTAGTATGGCCTCACCGCGTGTCGTGCGTGTCGTAGGCTGTGGCAGCACGAGCAGGAGGCAGCAAAGGGCGCCCCGGTGGAGTTGTGGGTGTGCGGGCACTCGGCGGGCGCCCACATGGCCGGCCTCCTTGCTCTCGATCCCTCCTACCTGGCCTCCACCCACAGTGCGTCTCTCTCCCTCTCTGTTGTCTACATGTTCTCCTCTTCTGGTGGTCTGGTGGTGATCATTCATTGTCATCGTCATTACCTCTATCGGCGGGCGCACAGAGGAGGGCGACCGCGAGGGAGTGCGGGTGGCGGGGTGGATCGGAATCGCGGGGATCTACGACCTGCCACGCCTCCACGCCGACTTTCCCACCTACAAGGAGGTAATAATAATAATAAGAGTAGGGGTAGTTAGCCCCCAATGGCCACGTGCGGCTCACGCGGGTGTGCTGGTGGCGGCGCGTGGCAGCATTTCCTGGACTTTGCGTTCGGGGAGGACGAGAGCAAGTGGCGGGATGCCTCGCCCCAGTTCCTCAGCCACACGGGCCGCTCCACGTCGCCGTGGCTCGTGGTGCACAGCGAGGAGGATGAGCTGGTCAACACCGCCCAACCGGTGCACTGGGTCCAGCACCTGGAGGCGCTCGGCGTGCCCGTGCAGTACCACCTGGAGGCCAAGGGCGGCAGGCACTGGGACGGCGTCAACAGCCTCGCCCATCCCGCCGACAGCAGCCTGGCCCGCCTCATCACCGACTTTGTGCGCACCTCAGGCCAGCCTTGACTTCGAAGGAAAGAAAAGCAACTCTGTGTTTTCCCGCGCTTTTTTTTCGTAAGAGAGCGGAAGAGACGATTTGATATCACAATATAAATCCCATCCCATTGATACAACACCATCGCAGCAGCGTGGGCAACAGGATGGACAGCCCAAGGAGCGATCACACGAGTCCCCTTACCCGCCGCACTCCTAGCACACCCGGCCGAGGAGGGACACCCATCGGAGGCAAATGGGAATCAGAAGCCGTGGGGGAGCTGCAGGCCGTGCGCACCCAGCAGCAGTGGAAGCGCCGTCCAGTTCTCGCCTGGGCCATCGCCTTTGCCGTCCTCGCCCTTTTGGCTCTCCGTACCTCGTACTCCACCCGACTACACCTCTGGTGCAGATTTTCGATGCCACTGCTTCCGTTCTGATCCTGCAAATGTTTGCAAGGTGGCCGAGTGTCATGCCTCCAGAGGAGCCTCAGGAGATGCTCTGGTTTGCAGGTACGCTACGCTGTCGTTGTAGTACCCTATATGTGATATGTGTGGTAGCCGCTGAGGAGGCTGGGGCTGCCACGTGAGCAGGTGGCGTGACGGTCGCGGTGACGAGTTTGTGGCTGGCTTTTGGCCTCCTGCGGCGGTACATGCGTGCGACCCCTCTGCCTACCGACCTCACAGCTCGGCAGCGCGTTCTCCTGGTACGCCACTTCTTCGCTTTTGGAGTGAGTGTGTGTCTCTTTCGCTATTGGATTGTGGTGTGCCGGGCTGACACCTTGTGGGTGGGAATGCAGGGCCTCCCTCCCGTAGCCGATACCCCCGACAAAACCACTCCTCGCCGCCCGCCCGCCGCCCGTGGTGGGTCCTCCTTCTTCTCTTGCCCGCCACTCTCCAGTGATTGCTTCGCGGCTCAACTCCCTCTCCCTCTCGCAATTCGTCGAGCGTAGTGGAGCCGAGTGGAGCCGCCCTCAGCTCGCCGCCGCCGCCGCCTCGCTACAGATCCTCCTATGCCAGCCCCCCGCCAGCTAGCCCGATGCGCGAGAGAGAGCAGCTGTACGTATCCTACCGTACACATCTCCAGACCATTCAATCTCGCTCTGCTGCATCTTCTTTGATGGCCGCCGCTTCATGAAGCACTGAATCAACAATGCTTGCTCCGTCTCGGCACTGCGGCCAACAGGCATCGCACGGTGCTTACGCGCAGAATGGGTCCATTCTCGCCCGAAGTGATCACCGACCAACGCGCTCTCGACCGCTACCTAGCGCGCTCCCCTTCTGGTGCTCCACCTCCCCTCTCTATCCCTCTGCAGCACCGCCTCTGCGGTCAGTTGTTGCCCACTTCTTGGACTTGCGTTCACGCTGCGTTGCGCCTCTGCAGCTGCCACCGGTGAGGAGCACACGACCGAAGGCGGATACCTGACGAGCCCACTGGGCGGCGTTGGACCCGGCGCTGAGGTTCGCGCCTATCGCGTGTCGCCCCGCAGTTCTCCGGCCAAGGGACGTACCGGCGACGAGTTTGGCTACTTCAACACTCAGGCCGCGCAGGAGGTTACTTCTCTCTTCTCTCTTCTCTCTCTGCTGGTCCGCATTTGGCATCGGTGGTGGGTGGTGGTGGTGGTGGTGGTGGTGGTGGTGGTGGTGGTGGTGGT